CTGTAGTCTTCTTTTTCCTACCAGTGTGTGTCTTTGCAGGCTGGATGGGATAGCTTGAAAAGAGAATTAGCATTTTCCTGCTGTAATTAAGCTTTGGAAAAATATTATTTAGAAAGCACATAAAGAAGTGACAGACTTTACCAATAGAAATTCTGAAATACTTACCTCAGATATTGGCTTCCTTTGTTCCACCCTTCTTCAGAATATAGCATTCTTATTCAAGAACTGGAAAATGGCAATCTTGCTATTATTCCATGTATTCCATGTATTTTTAAAAGGAGCACAACATCTTTGATCATCACATATATTTATTGTATCCTTTAGCTCTGTTCTTTGACCGGTATGGACATATGAGCAAAAGTGCCATTTAAGTTGTGATCATTCGGTTCATTGTTCCTAGTTTCAGAGAAAGAAATTAGAAGATTGGAGAGCTTACCTGGCTAGCTGACATGCAGAAAACTCAGTGGGAAGATGAGTGACTGTTTTGGCTGTAGCTCTTTTTTTTGTTATACAAGTTCTAACAAAATACAGTGGACCCTTGACTTACAGACGGCTTGACTTACAGACTTTTTGAGTTACAGACTTCTCTGGCCACAAAATTTAGGTTTGACTTGCAGACTGAGATTTGACTTACAGACCAGAAAAAAACCAAAATGGAACAAAAACGGCCTGTTACGGGATTAATCGGTTTTCAATGCACTGTAGCTCAATGGAGACTTGACCTACAGACTTTTTGACTTGAGAACCGCCTTCCAATACGGATTAAGTTCTCAAGTCAAGACCCCACTGTATGTAAATTATCTTATTTTGTTCTCATTATCTTTCTTCTCAAGGAGGATCAAGATACTCCCATTAGATCCATTCTTCCTCCATTTCATAGTCCCTGACTGCTGAGCTTGGCCCATTGCTAAGGGCACCATGTATGCATCATAATAGAACCATCATAGGTTTCATCATAATCACTCATCTACATAGGGTGGGAGGGGGCTCAGGGCCATCATCAGGCATCTTTAGGAGATGTACTTTACAGGAACCTATAAGGCTGTTTCTACACTACAAATACTGTATATCTTGCATTTACACCAGTCTGGTCTTAGGAATTTGGGGTTGGTGATAGAACTGAGGATTTATCCTCCAGTTCATAGACATAGACCTATGGTTCCAATGTTCCCCCATGCAGAAGGAACCATGGGAAATCTATACTATAAATACTACCTTGTTTTCAGAAGTCCATTTGTTTAGGCCCCATTCTGCAACTTTTGCTACAGATGCAGAATGAATTGCTTTTGAATACACAAAATGTTTGTTTATTAAATTTATTTTATATTGATAGGGTAGGATGGGAGACTGTAGTGACATCCACTTGTTCTTCCCACCTGAATTTGTCTCTTTTCACTACTTACGACCGTTTTCTCCAAAAGGAGCCAGCAAGGAGAAATTATTTAAAGGTAAACATATATTGGGAAGGTGGAATAGGTGGGTGATTTTCACATCTCACATCCTCCTCTTGGAACAAACATGAACTTGCACATTCATTGGAGAGAATGCTTAAAAGGTTGTCGTAGGTTTCTTGGGCTGTTTGGCCATGTTCCGAAGGTTTTTCTTCCTAATGTTTCGCCAGTCTCTGTGGCTGGCAAAATGTCAGGAAGAAAAACCTTCGGAACATGGCCAAACGGCCCAAGAAACCTCCAACAACCATCAGATCCCGGCTGTGAAAGCCTTCGAGAATACAATGCTGAAAAGGTTTTTTTTTTAAGTGAGATGCAACTTCACATCCATCTGATATACAAAACCAACTGGACTGGCAGTTGAATCGTTCTTCAACAGTGGCAATAGAAGAATATTCACTACTAAGCTTAAAGGCAGCAGGATAATTTAGGGAACACAGGGCAAGCCATATGGCTCAGGGGCTGCCTCCCCCAACATGTTGCTGCTGCCACCTCCAGGATCTGCTGTTTAAGGCAGCTGTCTCTACAAATGGTTTGGTTCTAACAGTCAGTATGCATCTTTGAAAGAGATGGGAATAGGACATAATTGTAATGTCCGAATTTTCATAGTATGTTTTCCACAGATGTGTCTTGAACAGGCTGAAAATCCATCTCTGAAGTTGTGCACATACACCCAACCACCAGGAGAACACTTTTTAAAATTAAACTTCAATTTGGTTATGCTTCAGTTTGTTAGCCTTCTCTAGCTTATAACTGTTAACCACACATCAGTTTAAGAAATGAACTGTCTTTTGAACTGAATGGGGAGATAGTTGTTTGTCATCCACACATTGATTATCACAGCACCTCAGATTTGAAAGAACCTTGTTCAGATACTTCATGTAATACTAAACAACGTAAGGGACAAGGTGAAACCTTGTGGAATACTATAGACCAAAAGGCTGAAAAGTTTGAGAAGGCTCCTAGCATCACCTTCTGAAATGGACCTTCTAAGAACGTTTGGAGTCATTGTACAATAATGCTTGAAGACTCATTTCTACCAGTCAGTGCAAAGGTTTTCTAAAATGATTGACTCACAAAAAATATATTTAAAAAGCAAAGTGTGCTGCTTATATACCGCCCCATAGCACTTCAAGTACTTTAGAAGGTTTGGGGTCATTGTACAATAATGCTTGAAGACTCATTTCTAGCAGTCAGTGCAAAGGTTTTCTAAAATGATTGGCTCACAAAAATATATATATTTAAAAAGCAAAGTGTGCTGCTTATATACCGCCCCATAGCACTTCAAGTACTTTCTGGGCAGTTGACAAGTTTATTATGCAGGCTACACATATAAGTTTTTGTTTTCACAAAATGTACAATTTCATAACTGATTTTATTTCATTTATGGTATATCATTTGTATTATTTAATATCATTTGCATTACTATGTGGTAGACTGCCCAGAGAGTGCACTATGGGGTGGTATACAAACTATAATAAAAAGTAAATATAGTAGGACCATGGTATCCACAGGAGATTGGTTACAAGCCCCCTGCAGATGCTGGAAAATGTGGATAAACAAACCCTACATATAGCATAATCTCTGGTTCCCTCTAGTGGGCAGTTCCAGTAATATACCTGGGAAACATGTATTGCTAGTAGTTTTTATTCAATATTTTCAGGCAGTGGATAACAAAAACCAAAGATACTGATCCCACAGATACAGTGGCCCTCCTGTACTAGAAATGCATGCAATTGCATAGGGAGGAAGGTCTATGCGCCAAAGGGCCATCTCATGTTTTCTAGGCCATCCTTTACCTGCTGTTGGCCTTGCTTCAGCCTAAACTGCTATTTCTCAAAGCTGCTGATGTCACTTCCCTTTTTATTCCCACTTCTTTCTTGAAGTGTGAAATAAACTATATAACTTTACTAGTGCTTGCTCTGCTAACGGGCTGCACCTCACAAGAGTGTAAAGTGCTCAACATTCTCCTTTTCTCAAATGTATTGATTTCATTCTCTGCCACTTTTCTCCTCATGAAGGGACCCAAGGTGGCCCACAAATGGTTAGAAGGAGAAACATATTAAGTTACAACATTTAAAAAAACAATGCTACAGAGGTTGTACCATAAATAAATAAAGGATGAATGATATAGAAAGCTACAGAGATAAGCAAGACCAATAGGGACACAATCATGCTATCATGATCTAGGCTATCTGGATAATCAAAGTGTAGGATGTTTTGTCATCTTCCTTGCAGATATTTTAAACTTGCATCACCTTTCAAAAACTTGTTTAGTGGTTAATTGTTATTGACAGCATTTAAAAAAAATTAACGTTATAAGCTCCAGCTAGGGTAGCCCCATTGATTCAATAAAACTGATGGAGGCATTGACTCACCAAATCGACTCACAAATTCAATGGACTAAGCATTTCAACTGCTAAGTGTAATGTGGAACCATTGTTTAAATGCTGCTTTGCAGAAATTGAGCTAGTGGGGAAGCAAACTAGGCAAAGCCTTTCAGAGAGGGCTTGGCAATTTGTGTCCCTCCAGATGTTCTGCTACAACTTTCATTATCCTTTACTGTTGCCTATGGCTGATGAGAGTGGCAATACAACTTGAAAACATGCATTTCTGAGGTTTTTTATTTAATATTTTTGGGCAGCAGATAAGTGAAACCATGGGTACTGATCCCATGGCTACAGAGGTTGTACCATAAATAAATAAAGGATGAATGATATAGAAAGCTACAGAGATAAGCAAGACCAATAGGGACACAATCATGCTATCATGATCTAGGCTATCTGGATAATCAAAGTGTAGGATGTTTTGTCATCTTCCTTGCAGATATTTTAAACTTGCATCACCTTTCAAAAACTTGTTTAGTGGTTAATTGTTATTGACAGCATTTAAAAAAAATTAACGTTATAAGCTCCAGCTAGGGTAGCCCCATTGATTCAATAAAACTGATGGAGGCATTGACTCACCAAATCGACTCACAAATTCAATGGACTAAGCATTTCAACTGCTAAGTGTAATGTGGAACCATTGTTTAAATGCTGCTTTGCGGAAATTGAGCTAGTGGGGAAGCAAACCAGGCAAAGCCTTTCAGAGAGGGCTTGGCAATTTGTGTCCTTCCAGATGTTCTCCTACAACTTTCAATATCCTTTACTGTTGCCTATGGTGGCTGATGAGAGTGGCGATCTAACATCTGGGAAACACAAAACTGCCTGCCCCTCTTTACAGTGAATAAGTAACACTCTTTCATGGGGTTGTATATCGAAAATTTAAATAACTTATAATTACCCAGTGTTGTCGTGGGCACTGAAACCAAATCTCTCTCAACATTTTTTGGCTTAAAACTTTAACTGTGCTTACATCTCTGATTTTCAAGGTATGAGAATGGGTGGAGACTGGGAGTTGAAGATATATGTACACGAACAAGGGAATGGTAGTTTTGACCAAAGGGAACACTTGAGGGCTGTGGAGAGGACATAAGCGCTCTCCCTTCTTGGCAACAATTCAGTTTCTGAATTTCTTCTGCTTTTTTTTTTTAAAAATTGCTTTCCTCAGGAATTTTCACGCTTCCATGCAGAAATCCAGCCAATGTATGAACGACTGTTGAACAACAGAAAAGAATGGAAAGCCCTGGCTGATCTGTATGATGCAAAAATGAAAGCTTTGGAAGAAGAGCAAAAGAAAGAAGAAGAGAAAACGATTGACAGCAAAGGTTAGAAGAAATCATGCTTATCCTGCATCCTAGAATATTTTTCCTTTCTAGCTCTTGGCTAGAAGATGTACATACTTCAGATTTGGGGCAAAAGTGAAATACAAAATGCCAAGGCATCCTGAATTAAGCCTATATCTGTCCATCAAACTGACATCACAGCAAGAAGATAGCTTAGGACCAACTGCTTGCTACCCAGACTTTCCCAATACAACTTCATCCCGAACCAGCTTTCCTCAGTCCTACATTCATCCTCGCATACTCCAGCATCATACATTTGATATATTCTTCCATTGACAAAAATATGCATCATCCAAAACATTCTGAACCCACCTCCTCTGGTCGTCTTACTTCACAACTAGGGTGCCAGCTTTTCTTTTGATCCTTAATCTGCAGCTACAACACCATGTCTTTTTCCAGTCCCACTTGAAAGCTAAATATGATTTTTTTTTCTTCCTACAGGCGCAATGACAAATTGTAATGGCGAAAGTGTTCCTTCATCTACAACCTGTAGCATAATTTAAAAACACAGTCTGTCTTCAGGCTGCAGCACTGAGCTGAGTTTTCCTCAGAAGATATGTACATATGCAGGAGTCAAATAGGGAATACAAGACCTGCATCATGGGAAATGCCATTGAAGACCCTCTTGCACCACAGTTACTACTGCCCCTACTGAATGAGTATGTGCTGGAAGGTGCTGATCAGAACTTGGCCAGCTGTTCTGATAGAATTCCTGAACTTGGTGGCCGTCCTCATAGTCATTCAATAGGAATACATCCACTGCTCTGGGATGCTGAAGTAAAAGGTCTAAGTCCAGAATGAACTGCCCTGAAGCAGCCCACCTATCTGAAGCACTAAAGGAGATTCTGAAGGATTTTTGTTTGTTTCTCTTGCAAAATATAGATCTTTCCATTTATGGACAACTGGGGACCTAGAACTGTCCAGAGGAAATAAAATAGAAACTGATTAATGCAATTTACTTTTATGAGCTAAAATATCAAATGTATGATAGGTGTAGACCTTTTATTAGATTGCTATGGATGTCCTTATCCACCTTTTGAAGAAATGTGGGACACTTCTCACTTCATGGTGTTTCCAGAACTATATAAAGTACAGTATTGTTACTATTATAGCCAAGACTTTTTTTTCATGCACTATCAATTGATTAGTTAGTCATTGAGATTCGGTGGCCAAATTCCTACTGGAGAAAAACTGTGGAAGTTGCTGTGGTTAATTGCAGCTTATATACAAGGTGCTAGGCATGTGCTATATACTGCATGGGTAAGCAATCAGTTGTGCGACTGACATGCAACTGGCACCATCAACTAGTCAGAGTCATTTCTATGATTCATTTTGCGCATGATTATACAGCAACATTAGGTAAGTCATCCACCTATGTGCAATGGGCCTAATTCCAATCAAGAGCTCCTGTGCTTACCTTGGAGAAAACCAGAAGGAAAGTTTAATTAGACATTACAATTTAATGTAGCATATAGTGACCTACTGTATATTGTGAGATAACTATGAGAATGCACAAATTTAGTCCCTTAAGCGATTAATGTCTTCTCTACATTTTCATTCTCCCTCTGGATAAGTGGCATAATGAAAATACCTGCACTGTCATAATATTCGACACATCTACAGCTACTTGTCCTCTGACTTTATTTTCAAGTTTGTATTAAAGATATCAAAGTGTGATCTTTCAGATGTCTCTTAGGATGCAAAGTAACCTGTGAAAGCAATAAACATCTACCAGAATGTAATACATACAGATTCTTTTAACATAGAAAATGCCTTGGTTTGCAAAAACACACAGCAAAGAAAATGAATAGCAACAAAATGTTCTACCACCACGTGTTTTTTGCTGATGTCAGTGAGTACAAAAGTTCCATCTCTGGTGTCCATTATCTTTTATCAATAGTTTGGCTGCTTCTCATACACATGCAGCTGTAATGATCAGAAATGATCTGATTTCACTTATGGGAGGCAATACTGTTGCCCTCAATTCCTCTCCAATAATTTCTCTCTTTTCGGTTTGGCTAGAAATAAGCGACTACACAGAGAAGCATTTGAACAAAGGAATCAATGTGTATTTTTTGATCAGTTAAGACTAAAATACTGAATTGTGGGTTATCATAAATGCTATTAAGAGTACAAGCCCTTCCTTAAACATTCAGGGCTCATCTTTATATTCCTCTAAAAAAAGGGCATTGACTCTTCTGCAAATCACTTTGTAAAGTCTCATAATATTTTAAGGGCTGTCTTGCTAATGAGACCCCCAAATTCCCTCTATTAAATTAGGCATAATGTAATGGTGTTCCGTATATAGTTGCACTGGCCATGTGACCACAGAAATGTTAAATTAGGCATAATGTAATGATGTTCCGTATCTAGTTGCACTGGCCATGTGACCACAGAAATTGTCTACAGACAAATGCTGGTTCTATGGCTTGGAAACGGGGATAAGCGCCGCCCCCTAGAGTTGGATACGACTGGACTAAATGTCAAGGGGCACCTTTAGTGTTACGTGGCAGGTCCCATCACCTCCTGGCAAATAGAAGGGGAAGAGATGGAGGCAAATAGAAGGGGAAGAGATGGAGGCAGTGACTTTTACTTTCTTGGGGTCCATGATCACTGCAGATGGGGACAGGAGCCACGAAAATAAAGACATCTGCTTCTTGGGAGGAAAGCGATGACAAACCTAGACAGCATCTTAAAAAGCAGAGACATCACCTTGCTAACAAAGGTCCATAGTCAAAACTATGGTTTTTCCAGTAATGATGTATGGAAGTGAAAGCTGAACAATAAAGGCAGCTGACTGCCAAAGAATTGATGCTTTTGAATTGTGGTGCTGGAGGACGCTCATGAAAGTCCCCTGGACTGCAAAGAAATCAAACCTATTCGTTCTGAAGGAAATCAACCCCGAGTGCTCGCTGGAAAGATAGATCCTGAAGCCGAGGCCCCAATACTTTGGCCATCTCATGAGAAGACTCCATGGAAAAGACCCTAATGTTGGGAAAGTGTGAAGGCAAGAGGAGAAGGGGACGACAGAGGATGAGATGGTTCAACAGTGTCACTGAAGCTACCAACATGAATTTAACCCAACTCTGGTCCATGGGGTCATCGAGAGTCAGACATGACTTAATGAGTAAAAACAAGAAGTGGCAGGAGCCATCATACAATTTAAAAGCCTACAAGAACAAAAGGGAGTCATTTCCCTCTTCCTCCCTCAAGCAACTGTTCTGAAAAGAGAAGTTGTCATGGTAAGGCAGTCTGAGCAATCACCAAAATAAACATTAGTATAGAATTGGTCATGCCTATTTCAGCACCATCTAGAGGAATTCTTTCTGTTTGTTGTGAAAGGGGACCAGTGAAGATTGTGCCCTGATTTGTTTCGTTCCTTTAGCCCTTATTTTTGTTATTAATATGTTGCCTGGGAAACATGTCTAATATTAAGCTAAAAAATTCTGATGCAGATAACATAGTGAACCTTCCTCATCTAAATACTACCCAATGGATCATTCTTAGTGTCCACTCTAGTCTCTCACATATGATGTGAAATCAACAACAATTTGAGCTTGACTATAATATTCACCTCAGACTGTTTTGCTGTTGCATTTATATTACATAAAAATGACGGTGACTACATAGACATTAGAAGAGGTAGTCGTGTTAATCTGGGCAAGCTTATCGGGCAAAAGACAAAGACAAAAATAAGACAAGACAAAAACATGTGGGACCTGAAAGGCTAGCTACATTATTATATTTTAATGTGAGCTTGATTCATGAAAGCTCGCATTAGAAATTAGCCTTTCAAGTGCCACGTTTGTCTTTTTGTTTTTTCTTTGTCTGATATAATTAGAACACTAAGAATTACTAGTCCACATTTCAGAAAATGGATCAAAGATCTTTTGCAGATCTATTAGTCCCAGAACTGCATTCATTTCCATTGTAAGCCATGCTTTGTTAGTTTATCCATTAATTACCGAACACTTTCTTTTCCACCTTCACCCCATCCAGAATTTGTTTATAAGAAATTTATATCACACAATCTGCATCTTTTTAATTAGTCTTAATCAGCTCCTGGGGCTTCCATAAGCACACTACAGCACACATGAAAAAAACAACACAGTATTTAGGCAAGGAGATCGAAGGTTCTCTTGAACTGGCGGCTTATTAGACCCTGCTTCCATTTTCACAATTATTGTTTTCTGAGCCGTAACATCTGGATCTTTAGTGGTATATAAACAAAGAGTTAATTTTCTGCTGTTCATTTTTAATAAGTGTTTTGCACATTAAAGTATCTGACTACTACTGATGACAACTGTTTATTGACGTAAGTTTCTGTTCAACACTTAAGATCATTCCACTCATTCTTCCAAACACTGGATATTGAAAGTTAATATGAAGATCAAGCAGGTTTATTTCAGTATTGTATCTTCAGAGGCTGCAAAAGAAAAATGAAAACAAAAAATTAAATCTACGCAAACAGAAGCTGGTATATACATAAAAACTTTATATACATAAAGTTGTCTACCTGAAATTGTTCTCAACCTCTTTTAAAGGGTTACAGTATGGAAAAAGAAAGTAAATCTTCTTTGAGAAGATTACCAAAAGAATGTGGCAAAAATTGATTCTGTTTAATAAAATAACTTTTTTGAAAAGAATTACTAAAAATAAATAATCATCATAATCAGAATTCATGCACACTGAAGTCTATTCAATCACAATTTCTTTTGTCATGTTCTCACAAGGACCTCATGTTCAAGCCTCCTTTTTAAGCAGTAAGAACACATGTTACCTGTGATCACTGCCATCATGTGACCTGGCATATGAGCGATAATATCCTCTAAGATGAAAAAAAAAGTAATTGAACTTGTTTTAGAAATTAATAAATGAACATATTTAGAAATAATACCTTCTCTAAGCTCTTTCGCAATTCGTTCCATTTCTTCACGCTTCTTTTTCTCCTCTTCTTCTATCCTCCTTTCCTCCTCAGCGATAGGCTTCAGGTAGTCTGTCATTTAGTAAAGCAAATGATTTTCAAGATGAGCACATATTTACAATGCACATTTAGCCAAGAGAAGACTTCCTCCATACGTAATTATTTTATGCCAATCCTTGCTTAAAATTCTTCACCTCCCACTCCCTCAAATGTGGAAAGTTTTAATGTATATTTCAAAAAGTCATGCAAAGTGTCTTCAGCTTGTTCAGATCAGATTAGAACCTTTGCTAGTTCTTTAAGATTTGGGACACAATTTGGAACTTTAGATTAGGATTTTAAACTGTATATAGGAGCCTTGTGGCACAGTAGTTAAACGTTTAAAATTTAGAACTTTAGATTTATTAAGATCTTAAACTGTATATAGGAGCCTTGTGGCACAGTAGTTAAACTGCTGCACTGCAGCCAAAATTGTGCTCATGATCCAGGATTCTATCCCAGGTGGCCAGCTCAAGGTTGACTCAGCCTTCTATCCAAGGTTGGTAAAATTAGTACCCAGCTTGTGGGGGGGGGGGCAATGTGTAGCCTGGGTAATTGTAAACCGACCAGAGAGTGCTGTAAGCACTATGGGGCAGTATATAAGCAGCACCCTTTTCTTTTTTATATATAGAGAGATAAGGATTAGCTAGAAATGAATATGAGATAAATGATATAAGCTGTAAAACTAAAAAAAATTAACCTAGATATATATGATAGCTGTATGATAATATACCTGTGATCTAACAATAGATCCAACAGAATTGGTTCAGCAAATATTGTTATTTTAGCCCAAGTACTTATTGTTTTATAAAATAAAAAGACCTTTAATTGCCATTGGAAGCTATCATGTACTAACACCCTCACTGGCTGATTGGCTGTAGCTCCATAAAGGGGGAGAAGAAGAACAAGTACAACTTTATAAAAGGGCTTCTAGTTTGAGAACTAGTGGTGGCAGTGTTACTGAGGAGTGGCCACAATAAAAGTTTAACACAAAGTCTTTCTACAGAGTGAAATGGAAAATGAAGAGCCCAGGAAGTTCCAGATGTCCAGACATGTATAAGTGAACACCGGGTATCTGTTTAAGTACTAGCAGGGTTAGAGACATAAGGTGGCAACATAGCTGAGGAATGCTCGTGATATAACAAAGCAACAGAGACATTAATAAAAATACTGTTGTGACAGGGAAAGTTATTTTTGTATGAATGTTGACCATACAACTTTAATTCCTAACTTTATATTGTAATTTTTTCCATGGTGTATGAAGCCTTTTCATTTTGCTTACTTCAAAGTATTGCAGAATTACAAATGTTCATCTCCTCAAGAGTATTTTCTATGATAGCTTTTTAAGTATTTTGCAAAGGTGTTTCAATATGCTCACACGATTCACACTTAAGAATACAATGGTGCCCCGCAAGACGGGCGCTCCGTTTAACGATGAAACCGCTTGACGTCGATGTTTTTGCAATCGCAAAAGCAATCGCAAAACGATGTTCCCTATGGGGGAATTTTGCTTTGCAATGATCGGTTCCCTGCTTCGAGAACCAATTGTTGCAAAGCGATGATTTTTAACAGCTGATCAGCGGTTTCAAAACGGCCACCGGGTAAACAAAATGGCTGCCTGCTGTTTTCTGGGACGGATTCCTCGTTGCACAGGCAGTGAAAATGGCCGTGCTATGGAGGATCTTCGATGGACGGTGAGTTTCCAGCCCATAGGAACGCATTAACCGGGTTTTAATGTGTTTCTATGGGCTTTTAAAAATCGCTTTACGATGTTTTCGTTCTACAGCGATTTCGCTGGAACGAATTAACGACATAATGCGAGGCACCACTGTACTAATACTTGACACTGACTCAAGTCAAATGACAACTCTAAAATGTAGTGAGATCTATATGTACCATAACATATTTAATGAAATAGACTTTTGAAAACCATAACGGCTACATAGTTACAAGAGAAAAGTAGCCATTTGCACATCTGTGAAGATTGACAAATTTGTAGCATGTAAAACAACACAATTCCCTATCTTTATAATATTCGCAGTGTAATTTCCAAAAATGATTGTACGTAAGAGAAATTGGATAAAAGTTCATTTTGTGGACCTTAAATTTGCATTTAACTCATCTTGAAAGATAAATTATAGCATAGGTTTTACAAGCTACACAAGATCACAAACCTAAATATCAGATGTAACTGCATCTCTCAAATAGTGTCCTCACATTTAACAGAGTACAGTAAGGCTGCGCATTTCAGCATTTTGTTATTTAATTTCTCTATCGACTCACTAGTCCCAGCTCTCAAAGATGCAAAATCCCATCCTCCCGAACTACCAGACACCTGCCATTGTTACTCTATGCCAGGGGTCTCCAAACTACAGCCTGCGGGCAACTCACTAGTCCCAGCTCTCAAAGATGCAGAATCCCATCCTCCCAAACTACCAGTTACCTGCCATTGTTACTCTATGCCAGGGGGGTCTCCAAACTACAGCCTGAGGGGGGGGAAGGGGGTGTCCATGTGGGGGGCATGCATGCAAGGGGGTGTCTGTCCATGCATACATTCCTGTTCCCTCGGCCCTCAAAGATGTTGAAGATATCTGGTGTGGTCCTCACAGTCCAAAGTTTGGAGACCCCTGCTCTATACTGATGATGTGGTCCTTACTTATTTTTTGTCTTATTTATAGACCATCTTTCTCCTGATGCTGATGATGTGGTCCTTACTTATATTTGTGTCTTATTTATAGACCATCTTTCTCCTGAGAGACACCATTGGCTTAAAGGAGAGCTTCGAGAGCTCTTCTTTCATATTGGAATGCAGGAACCTCTCTGAGAGTGGCAAAATTGTGCTGTAGCTATCAAAATTTGCCAGGGAATTTCCCAGCAAATCTATAATTTATATTTCAGTGTCATGATTATCACCTTTTAGTAATTATGTTGTTGCAGTGTACCATCTTATTTTTTGACTATTTTAAACTCTTTGGACAAGATATTTAATGTCATATTTACCTGCTAACTACTGATTATTGACAGCAATAAACAGACTAATCTACAAAAGATCTACCAAAAATTTAGACAATATTTCCCTTAATCACCTACCATGTCTTTTCTTCCCATAGATAATTCCAAGTAGCAGTGCTGAGTATCTGGAGAACTGTAAAACAAATTACAAAAGCATGAGGCAGAAAGTAAATATAAAACCTCCGCTGTTCACTTCCCACATATTAAGGGCCAACATACTCTAAATTTTCAGGTGGAACTCCACCTCCCCCATGCACAGTGTTCCATTGCACCCGGAACCAAAGGGGCTGGAAACAATCACTGTGTGGAGGAAGAGGAAAGCTGCGTGGAAGGAGGCAGAGTTGCATGCGCCTTAGAGGGAACCTTGTTAAGGACTTATAAAGTATCAATCAAACTCATGGGACAAAGAAATCAAGCCTGAAAATAATTTTATTGACTGAAATATAAAAGTCCTTTTTGCCTGTATTATCCAACATGAGGGACTAGCCTAGAGTTGGCCAGTATCCTCTTCATCGGTTCCACTCAAACAGTAGCTCAGTGGTTTATGTCTCTGGTTGCAAAGGTAGAGGTTAGGAGTTTGATTCTCCTAGCGTACCTCCTTGACAGGATCTGGACTCCATGATCCAGAGGGTCCCTTCCACCTCTGCAGTTCTAAGGTAAGATACTCTCCCCCATAAACAAGAAGACTTTTTCTGAACATGTGTAAAAAGTTTTCCAAGTTTAAAGCCCTGCTCATTTCAATGAGAGCTTGAGCAATAAGAATCATCATGTTATACTCTGTAGTTTCAACAGGATAGTGGTCTAGGAGCATATCAAACAACAAAAGAAAAAGATTTTTTTACAAAAAATCATTGTGACACCTTAAAGACTAATTGCTGTATTTTAATGCGAGCTTTTGTGGATTAAGTCTATAATATAGACTCTATATCCTCAGACCCTAGGAGCACTGGTGTAATCAAAGTGTAAACCATTTAAATATTTTTGTTGTGCATTTTAAAAACATGTTAAATTTCTGCTCAAATTATCTGTACTTATGCAATATCAAAATAGATTCCTAAAAAATTAATGATTACTTATATCATCAGCTTTCACACAAGTCAAGGCAATTCTTAAGTAACACCCCTAAAATTGGTTTAAAAACCCACTTGTAATGATTTTGACATATTTCAGAGAGAAAACCACTTGTTTACCTTTTCCAAAGGAATACTACTCTTTATGCCCACCGCAGCATAAATAAAAGAGACCTGTGCCACCTTAAAGATGATGCCATTTCTCAAAGCACTATCTGTTATGGACCATTCAGATTTCCAAATCTGGATAATATGCGTCCGATGTGTTGGGAAATCACCCACAAAAGCACATGATATAAGCAATATAAGCAACCTGAGCAATGTTAAGGCGCCACAAGCCCGAGGGTCGCAATGTTTGTCGTCTTTCCAACTGCCTTGGTGAAGACGAGTCGACAGGCAAGCTCCAAGCACTTCAACGACCAAAGGAACCAGATGTTCCAGCACAACCAGAGGAGATCAATAAACGGCGCCCTTTGGGAAGCGGCCCGAGAGAAGAAGGGAAGTCAGCCGGCAGGCAAACGGACAGCCCTTCTTCTCCTTGACCTCCTTCCCGGTCACCTTCAGCAAAAGACGGAAGAGCCCCGTAGCTCGCCTAAACCCCACACGCACCCTTCGAGGAGGAAAAAAGAAACCGCGGGAGGCCGAGGCGCCAGAGAGAACCGACGCGGCGCCCAGAGCCCGCCTCCATTACCTTGATCAGCGGCGAAACCTGGACCGGGGGAACCATCTTGCCTCTCGCCCGGGGGAAATAAAAGGGATGTGACGTCATAATATACAGACACACAGGTCTCAGGGCATTATGGGAGCTTGGCGGGGCGCGGGCCTCGTGACGTCAGCAGGTCGCAAGTCAGAGAGCGAATGGTCCGTAGGCCGGGACAAAAAAAGGGCACGACACAGAAACCTAGACATATAGAAAAGGAAGAACGGTCGTCATTTCGATTCTTCCGAGCTAAAACTGAAACAAAATGTCGGGAAACACAACGAAGCTCCTTTGCAGCTTTCAAGGACGTTTCCCGTTATTACCAGAAATTGCAGCCCTTCGTGCTATTTCTTACACCTAAGACACAAGGTCTTAGGTCTTAGGTGTAAGAAATAGCACAAAGGGTTGCAATCCCGCGCACACCCACACCTACAGGTTAATATGCGCAACGAGGTGGATTAATCCAGGAAAGCTCACCACGGTTTTGTGTGTGTGTGTGTGTGTGTGTGTGTGTGTGTGTGTGTTGTGTGTGTGTTTATGTCCTTTTGGTGTTGCCTGGCTCGGCTGGGCTGACAGGAGTCGCGTAAACCCCTTCATTGCACCGGCATTTTGCGTCTAGCGGCGCGTGCACACAACCCTCCTTTTGGTGTTGCCTGGCCCGGCTGACAAGAGTCGCGTAAACCCATTCATTGCACCGGAGTTTTGCGTCTAGCGGCGCGTGCACACAACCGCATCGGCGACACGTTTAAGGGTTGGGAGTGTGCGGTTTCTCTTCTTTCCTCCATGAAAGGAGAAGGACCAGGAAAAGACCCTCGAGCCCAATTTGCACGTCCAGTCACTCCGGGCGTCTTTTTGTCGCCAGGAAGTTTAGCTGGCTTCGGGGGACCAGAAGAAGCAGAAGAAGGATCGCTGAGAGACCAAATGGGATGTGGGGTGGCTGTAACGCCCGCGGTGATCTGGTCCTTCAATGGTGACAAAGAAAATGTTAATGCCAGATTCCCTTGCCAACCTGGAGGCTTCCTCCACCTTATCTGTGGGCCAGCCGTCCACCAGCACGACAGCAATGTTGGGGGCACCACCCCGATTCCCGTTAGAATCCTCAAAGAAGTTTTTGTTAACAAAAGACAGAGCTCTCCCTGTGATAGAAGGTGGAAAGAAAAAAGCCAGAAGGATGGGCATAGTGAATTGTAATTTTAAAAGATGACATTAAATCTCCTGCTACATAATGTATACTTGTTTAGTGCTGCATATAGTTAAGAGCAGAAACTGTCCATCTATCCTAGAGAAACTAATTTTGTCATTAAATGGTTCCCCTTCCTTTAACATGCAGCTAAACAGGACTTCCAACCCAACAACCTCATATCTCAAAAGATGCTATACTTCTATGTGGACATTTAAGAAACCAGTTACCACTTACCTGTACTGTGATTACATATCCTTAAGAACATCACATAGTTAAGCCAATAGCTCATGAAGTGTTCTATATGATACCAAAGTTATTTGAGGCTCAGTGTGATGTGGAAGTATGCCGTACAGTTCACTTAGTATAATTTGTGTTGTTAACAAGATAAGTAACCCTGATAAAGGAAAAATAGTTTTTGGTTTAAAGTTTACCCTTTGTATAATGTACACCCAACTGAATGATTAGTTGTTTTTTAGTTGAAAGTTACGCTGAAAAAAACAAATTGTTGCTCTACTTAAAGATGGCCTAGGCCAGTGATGGTGAACCTTTTTGAGCCCAAGTGCCCAAACTGCAACACAAAATCAACATTTATTTCAAAGTGCCAATAGTGCAGTTAAAACCTGAATGCTGGGGTTTTAGTTTAGAAAAAACAACTGCTCCTGCACTGCAAGGGTTAAATGCTTGTTTCCACACACACACACCCCATGGGCAGTATTAATAAATACTTACTGGTGGGGCAAATCTGCCTTCCAGTGGGAGGGAGTTCCAAAGGTTGGGAGAGTCTTTGAAACACAGCTGCATCTTTGAAAGTGCAGGGATGGTGTTAAAATACTCATATGTGTTTCAAACACTTAGGTTGTTTTCTTAACAGGCTCCTTAGAATATCTTTTTTCATGGCAAGGGCAAGAAAAAATTTCCAAAAAGAGGCAAAAAAAGCATCAAAGGCTTCATTGTGTGACTGTGCCCATCCTTATTCATTTATTACTTTCATTTCCCTCCCCCCCACCAACTCCAGGCTTAGGAAAGTTCCTTTTGGTGCAAATGCTGGAAGATAACTTTGGAGCACCAGCCTAGAATCCTGTCAGAAGGCCAACATGGGGAGATTTAACAATCAGTGGTATTGGTCACATGGGATACATTAATAGGCCACAAATTTTTTAAAAAATCATGCAAATGCTAGCTTTTGTGGATGAATCACATGATCAGAGGGACTGCTGACATCATCTTCAGGACTCAGCCAATCCCGTGGCTGCTGCTGCTGCTGCCGCCTTGGGAACTCAACCCAACTCTCCTGGGTCTTTGTGACCTCACAGAGCCCTACCTCTCTGCTGGCAGGTAAAAGGGGTTTGCTGGGCAGGGCAGGAAACCAGAAGGGAGGCCAGTGGCCAGAGGGCAGTCCAGCAGAGAGAGCAGCAGTGGCTGCAGGGGACCCAGCCCTTCTGCCCAAGGCAAGTTCT